AGCGCGTCTCCTCGGGCCGCCGGAGGACCACACTGCTGGCGTTTACCCACTGCACCAGCCAGCTCATCTGGCAGATGCAGTTGAAGGGGTTGCCAGCGGCCGTCATGGCCCGCAGCCTGGGGAAGAAGCTGGAGAAATCCCGAGGGATGGTGTTGATGTTGAGGTTGCTGATGTCCAGCTCCTGGAGGTTGTGAAGGTTGTGGAAGTCCTCTGCCGGCAGCTGGGAGATGCGGGCATTGCCAGCCAGGCTGAGCTTGGTGCGGCTCCCCAGCCGCCGCAGCACCGCTGGGACACGCTCCAGCAGGTTATCAGAGACATCCAGCTCATGGAGGTTGTTCTGGGCCTGGAAGAGCTCCTCATTTAAGCTCGTCAGGCCCAGCCCCGCAATCTTCAGGGACTCAATGTTGACGGCATGGAAGGCCCCTGGTGCAATGGCAGGGATCTTGTTCCAGCTGATGTCCAGCAGCAGGAGGTTGGGCAGGTCAAGGGGGGGCACAGCCCAGAGCTGGTTGTTCTGCAGCTTCAGTTCCAGCAGGTTCTCCAGCGTGTCAAAGGCAGCAGCATGGATGTGCTGGATCCTGTTCCTCTGCAGGTAGAGCCGCTCCAGCAGCCGCAGCCCATGGAAGGTCTCATTGGTGATCTCCTGCAGCTGGTTAGAGGACAGGTCCAAGTTGACAAGCTCTGTCAGGGGCTGAAAGATGTTTTTCTGGATGCTGGTGATCTTGTTTTGTGAGAGGTCCAAGAGCTGGAGGGCATGCAGGCCCGCAAAGCTGTCCTCGCTGAGCATCGTGATGCCATTCTCAAAGACGTAGAGGGAGAGGGTGTTGGGGGGCAGCCCCCGGGGCACGGTCTGTCCCCGTCTGGCCGCACACAGGATGGTCTTGGGGTCTTGGCACTGGCAGCCTGTGGGACATGCCCCAGCCAGCTCCCCGGCGGCCAAGAGAAGCAGCGTGCAAAGGATCAGCTGGTTCATGGTGTCAGCTCTGCGGGAGAGAGAAACCCAGCCAAGGTTAGGGGTCAGGCCCTGCTGGGGGGGGACCCCAGGCTGGCAGGGCTGTGGGGTTCCTCAGACCCCCTGCACTGCTTCTGGGGAGTGAGAGCCATCTCCCCGTGCCCTGCCCAGGACCCTCCGGCCCCAAAGGGACCATGGAGGGAGTGGGAAAGTTCCTGCCAGGCTCCGGCCTCCTCTGTGCTGCTCAGGCCCAGGACAAAGCAAGAACAGGGGCTGCCCACCCCAGCCCCATGCTCTGCCTCTCCCCAGGCCCCCAGAATTTAGGGACACGGTACTTTTGCACACCCCAAGCCCTACCATGAGACACGTCCCACCGGCTTTGGCCTGGCCTCTTGGTACCAGAGACCCAGTACAGCAGGGCAAGGGCCCCTACCTCCCCGGCTGCTCTCAGCAGGGTGCAAATCAAACACGGGGGATGCAGAGCAGAGGCACCGCTTGGCTTGGGAGCCAGCGGAGGGGGTGGGATCCCGGCACACCAAGCACTGCTTAACCCTTTGCTTGTGCTGCCGTCCCAGCAGCTGCACCCACGGGGTCTGCTCCTGCCCAGATCGCCAGCAGTAGCACTACCCTCAGAGGCAGAGGCACCCAGAGGTGGCCCGGGCACAGGCTGGGTGCTCCCCTGCTCCCACAGGTCCCTCCTGTGCCCTTCAGAGCCGGCTGCAGCCCTGCAGAGTCCCAGGGTTCGTACTCACCCCCAGGCCAGCTCCTGTCCTCTGGGGCCACAGGTCACCTTGCTGTTCCCCTTCCTGCTGGCACCCTGGGGACCCAGCACAGCACCCTGGGCTGCATCTTCATCCCTCAGAGATGGGGACTGGGATGGAGGGGAAGATGCTCTTGGGGTGAGTGAGGCTGTAACTACTCCTGCCCCAGCCCATGTCCTTGCTTCAGAGGCGGCTGGCTCCTCTCTCAACCCTGTCTTTCAGCCCTTTTAATGATACTCTTAATTAGCATGGGTGAGGGGGTGGCAGCGGGACCTGGGGCTGGGCCGGGGACC